ACATCGTTGTTGACTGCGGTACCTCTTCGAAGGTCTCTCAAACGAGCTATTTTGAGGCTATTTAATTTTATTGGCACTAAGCGCGGCCTCTGGAGCAAGCAGCCTTATGAAAAGCACTCACGCGAGCAAGATGCACATATTGGTTCCATATCCCTTCAAATGAAATGTAAACTCAGACGTCGCTTGGCACACATTTTTATTGTGATGTTGCAAGTCTAGTTGGGTATTTCAATTTTTATTGTAATGTTGCAAGTCTCTGAAGTCGGGTATTACAATTTTAATTGTGATGTTGCAAGTCTCTGAAGTTTGGTATTTCAATTTTTATTGTGATGTTGCAAGTCTCTGAAGTTGGGTATTTCAATTTTTATTGTGATGTTGCAAGTCTCTGAATTCGTATATTTCAACTTTTATTGTAATGTTACAAGTCTCTGAAGTCGGGTATTTCAAATTTTTACAACGTTTATGTCGCCAAAAATATTCTCATATGTACAAAAAATACTGCCATTGTTAAGGAAATAACTAATTTAATTCGGCATAAGAAATAGTTTGAAGATAAATTTGTGCATGGTAAATTGGGCTGTGTGATGAATTTATTTCAAATTTATCTCTTATGGTAAATACTCTACTATACTATGATATAGCCTAACTATAGTAAAGTGCAGTCTGAGTAAAGGATTTTGAAACTGTTGGAGGTTTATCAATGCACGAGGATGTTTTTGAATAATACTGGAAAACAAAAAATAAATAAAAAACAATTTCCCGGATATACCGAAATTCTTGGTCAATAACTAAGTATTCAACAATGTCTCATTAATGCATCACGAAATTTTCAGTCTTATTTTCTTCCAAAAATGTGGCCTTCCATAAATTATTGATAAAAGCATTATTTCTATCCTCAAGCAATACTTAAGGAGACTAAAGATTAATATTAAAATTCGCCTAATTCAATCGCAAAATCTGCGGCGTCTAACGGAACAGTCGCTAAGCAGATTATGGCTGGACGGGAAAGCTTCTCTGGAAAACTCATCCTGGAAATCCACCGAGTGTACGGACCTGGAGTGTCATCAAATTACTGGAAATGACCATGCAACCAAGTCCCTGGACTGATCAGCCTCAGCCCGATCTATTGCTCGATTGAGTATAATTAATTAACATGCTTTGAAAACTATGTTCTTGATTTTAAATTTCTATGTATGTGCATTTAATAGATAAAATTAATTGGTGATCCCTAAGATAAAAGATTTGATGCCCCATAAAATTTCTATTTTATATATTAGTACCAGGAAGAAGATTTATATCAATTCCTGTATGGAATGCGTATTAAACCCGTATTATTAAACCTGTGTAAAGGCCCATGATTTCTTCTCCAGTTTTTTAAAAGAAAGAAAATAATCCCTTCGACTTTTTCCTGGAAATATGACCTTGTTATCATTTCATATAAATTGATTGAAAGAACATTTTCATTTAAATTATTAAATGCCTGTATTCAAAATGAACATTTTCAATACTTATTACTTCGATAAATTTCAACTAGATTTTCAACGACTGAAACGCGGAAAGATGAAAACAGAAGAAAATGGTTAAAACGCATCGAGAGAATAATTGATAGGCCGAAAAATTGCTCTAATCAGATTTTTATAATCTTGCAATTTTTAATTTTAGCCGATGCCAAACTACATGAGCATTTTTTTTCGAAAGAGACCAAAAATACGTTCGAAATTATCAAATACTTTTGTCCAATAAATAAAACCGAAATCTTTAAAAATAATGTGAAAGTCGTTAGATTGAGTGGACATATAGTGGACATATTTTAAAATTCTATTTTGACGGAGTTTAAACGATCCATATAAATAGCTTTGAACTTTATTTTGATGATCATCAACGTATTGCAGGCGAACTGCTACGAGCACACGATAGAAATAAAATTAATTAATTGGTTTTGATGTATTGTAGTTTCCAACCGTTGGCTTACATGACCTGAGCCGAAAACCTGTGTGATTTTTATGGAAAAATATTTTATGCAAGCTAATTCATTCGTTAACCTGAATAAATTAGCATTTCTATTTATTTATAAGAGATAATATAGTGATAATCTTCAAAGATGAATATTGGTCTTTTGATTAAGTATTCTTTTTCAGCAAACACTAATTCTCGGAATATAATTTCGAATTTTTTTATTGTTAAAAAATTTAAAAATTGGGAAACAAATTTTTATCGGATGTTAAGTCTCCGGAATGCACAAGCCTTTGGGTCTAACAAATTACTCATGATTTCATGAACACACTTTATTTACAAGTAATTACACAAAAATTATTAATTATACAAACATTTTTCACACAGTACAATGAAATTAATCGATAAAGAATACTTGTCTGGTCTCAGCATTAGCTACTGCGAATAAATTTTTCCTTTTCTTTCTGACGTGAAATCGTATGATAAAAATTTACAACTCGAAACCTTATTCCTTGTCTCTATGGAAAACGATCCACGTTTATAAAAAAATATACCAGAGAAAATCCGTCGTACTGAGCCATGTTTGAATCACATTCGATTGTCTCTTCCTCGATCAAAGTTAACAAAAGAAAATGAAAGAAGTGACCGCTTTTGTCACAGTTGCAAACTTGAGAACAAAAACGGTAGTTTCCGGGTGACGGACGAATTGAAGTTCTTCCAGCTCAGTCATTCTTCTATCTAATGAAGTAAACTTAGGGAGATAAATAGGTTGGTAAAGTCTTCTACCACGCACGACGGCCCAGTGAAAGAAAGCGGGGCCAAAGTTTTCTCGTGTTGTCAAAAGCAGGTTTTTCTCAATCAGGGTTTTCGTTTTTTCGGGGTCTTGTTCAAAGTTGGAACGGAAAGCCTCTTACGAGAGACTGGGGAGGTGGGGGCATCGCGACGGTCGCATAAATGCAAGACAACACATCTTCTTCCGACACGATGTCTTTTTTTAAAGAAGACCCTCACTTTAACTAGGAAAAGCGACTGATAGTCATCCTGCAGTTTATAAGTTAGTTTTATCAATGTAATTAACAATTACACGAATGCTTAGGTCGTTGCAGATGTCCAGGAGCAAGCTTATTTGTTATTGTCTGGCCTTTGAAAATGTATGACATTTGGATATCGCATTTTTGGAATTTGAAATTATATCTGAAATATTATTTTTTTGGAGGTGTTAAATTTTTTTTTCGCACTGTTAAATGGGAAAGAATAGTTAAGAGTGATGTATGATATCAATTCATGTTCTGCACGTCTGTAGTGATGGATCAATATTGTTCATCGATCACTCAAGCCAACACAATGGCGGCAGGCGGGCAAAGCTTAACTTGAAGTGAATGAAGCCCTAAACGTGGCAAACGTGGCTCAAATAAAGGCTTAAAGCCACGCTGGCCTGTGATGGGCAAGTTAATGAACAAATAGCTGGGCCTGTTTGAATAATTCAAATGTGAAGCCATTCGGACTCGATAAACAATTATTCATACAATTTAATGCTAACGCGGTAGAATGTTTGCACTTAGCGATCTCTTCAATAGAAGCATTGGTTGATGTGGAAAAATACTAAATAAATCAATCAATTTAAACTTACTCAACCAGCATATATATTATTACAGATAATATGATTGGTATGGTTAATAATAGATACTTTTGTTCATTTTTATATAAGTTTATTTTACAGTATAAAATACTGCCTGCAAATGAAGCGTGAATGTGAGCCCCATTTATAATTGTTTCCAATATAACAATGTTCGTTTTTGTACGACATTCGAAGTGAATTATTTTTAGAATTATAATTGAATCTAAATTTCATTCATTTTTATCAGCTCAGAGAAATAAATTTGTTTTGCTAATTTAATGCCTAAATGGCAGAGCAAAGGAGTGCCTAATGCAAGCTGTGATGCATTTTGATGAGAATCTAACACGCAAATGTCACGGCATCACCATAATTAATGATAAGTTTAAAAATTTTTGAAAAACCTTGTGTACTATATGCTGTCTTACATGTACGACTATTTTCACATGTCCTACAAATGTTTGTATATTGGGTTTGATGGGCAGTAATATCTCCTTGAAGAGCATGAAACACTGCAAGCATTTCGTGAATATACTAAGTGAACAATGGCAGCATATTTCGATGACTAGAATATTCTCTCAGCTTCTTATTTTCATTAGTTAAGGATAATATGTAATTATTTGCATATGATGCCGGCCACCATCTTGATAGCGAAGCAGAAATAGTAAGCTATTTGTGGCTGAGAATGTAGGCTGGAATAAAGTGTGTTAGGCATGGCAGGTCAGGACAGTTATTTTTGGTGATCAATTAAATTATTTAAGGAATATGTGTTAGTTTCTAAATAAAAGTTCCTATACATTTTTTTCGGTACCTCGTTAGTATTTAAATACTTCATTATTTGTAATGCTTGTTCTACATTCGAAAAGAAGTTTTTGGACGAGAATAATATTTTTAAAACCTGTAATTTACGTAAGAATCCAGGCAACATGATTCTAATCTTGCATCAATCTAGTAACAAATCAATTTAGTATTATATCAATCTAGTAATAAATAAATTTAGTTATAAATCTATTTAGTTGTCAATCAGTCATGTAATAAATCTGTCTAGTATTAAAAAAATCTAGTAATAAATCAATCTGTTATTATAAAAAATTAACTTCTCAATTATACGTTAAGTAAATGAATAATTATCCGCATATAATAATGAAGTAAAATGTCTTAAATAATACGAGCGAATAGCCTTGAAAGATTTTACTTTCTCCTTAATCAATAGTGAACAGTTAAAAAGTACTCACATGTTTGATTGACTGAAGCTATGTCTGTAGTAACGGTCAGAAGCTGTGTCAATTATACGTTTAACAAATTCACTATTAATAGTGAATCGCTAGGCCTATCTAATAATGAACTTAAATTTTTTAAATAATACGAGCGAATAGCATTGACAACATTTTCTTTCTCCTTAATCGATAGTGAACAATTAAAAAGTACTCACAAATTTGATTGACTGAAGCGGTGTCTGTAGTCCCGCTAACGAGGGTTGCGCACAGCAACACGAGGGTACCGCATAAGCACCACTGTAGAGCACCGAGCAATCCACTATAATAACTAAATATTTGTTTGCCACTGCCCAGAGTGCCACACAAATTTTTATGAGTGTCATTTTCGACCGTAACGTGTCTCCAAGATGTCGGAACTTGTCCGAATCTGGAGCCTTGTCGACGGCCTCTGTGGGTGCCACCGCCTGAGTCACCTCCCATTATTGTCCGTTTATGTCAGTTTGCTTTAATCGAAAGTTGCATCTGTGTGCAGGTATTTGTAGTATTCGAACAAGTTCTCAATTTATTTTCATAAATATAACCAGTTATTACACATGTCGTTTTTATATCAGGAACCCGACATGATTTTGACTCCGCTACATGTTGTAGATTTTTTCATTTCAATAGTAACATAGGCTAGCTATTGTTGATAACTTACTTGAAATATTAAGAATCGAGTATCCTGAGTCTATACAAAGATAATCTGAGGACTCCTAAAAAAAATCAATATTTTGTAATTTTTCTGAGAAAGTCGGATAGTGGCTAAAGAAACCTGTAACATGGAAGATTTTCACATTATGAGTGCTTAGCGTATCATAAAATTATCATTAATTCAATGAAAGTATTAATAAATTTATTGGTAGATTGTTAAGTAAGAAACATGCTAATGAACATGCGTACCTTCTCTAATTTTATAATCAAACTACCTTATTATATCGTTCAAGTTTATTTATTCCTATATGCCAAACTATATGAATTTTGCTTATTAAATCTGTCAACCAAAATTCAACTTAAACAATTTTATATTGTAATATTTCACTATCATTTGAAGTCATGAAATTACCAATGTCTTGTGACACGATCCTGTAATGTTTGCGAAATTATCTCATGACATCAGACGTAATTTCTGCATCGCAAAGAAACACTGAAACACCAGCCGGTCCTTGAGTTTCCCGTGATTTATGGCTCCTCTATCGGGCAATATTAGGCAGGACTTTATAGGGTAATATTAGGCGAGGTTTCATGGGGTAACATTAAGCAAGATTTCATGGGGTAATATTAAGCAAGATTTTATGGGGTAATATTAAGCAAGGCTTCATTGGGTAATGTCGAGCGAAGCTTTATGGGGTAATTTTAAGCCAGGCTTCATGGTAATTTTGAGTAAAACTTCATGGGGTAATACTAGGCAAGGCTTCATGGGGTAATATTATGCAAAGCTTCTTTGGGTCATGTCAAACGAAGCTTCATGGGGTAATATTAAGCAAGGCTTCACTGGGTAATGTTAAGCAAGGCTTCATGTGGTAATATGAAGCAAAGGGTGATGGTGTTATATAAAGCAAGGCTTCATGGGGTAATATTCAGCAGGGCTCCATGGGGTAGTATCAAGCAAGGCTCCATGGGGTAATATCAAGCAAAGCTCATGCTAGTGAATTCCTGCCTTCGTATGAAAATCCGTGAACGCTTAACGAAAAAAATGCGATAATTTGTGAAATTCTTGTGTCAAATGCAGATTGAATGATTATTTGTTTGACTGACAGAATTTTGATCTCTCGCTAGAACTAATAGCAAAATTGTGCCTATTTTGATATCTTTACTAATATTTGGTCAACATTTAATGTGGATTCTGGTATACATACTCATTCTATTTCGTGTTCGATTAACGTGTTGTGCAGAATTGATTTAAAGTTAGCAATATCTGCGAGTATATATATGTTTCAATTTGGCTTCTTTTTAGCTTCTACTTTGTAAGATTTATTTGACGTTAGGCATCTTTATTGCTGTAAATAATCCAATATTATTAAAGGGGATTAATTTTGAGCAGGTATAATCGATATAATAACAATATAGCCATTCATGGTAAGATGCAAAGCGAACCAGAAACTAATGTGCAATGATTAGAGATCTAAAAAATTACGTGTCTTTTCACAGTTAAGTACAGTCTTTGCTTAGAATTATCAATAATAATTGCGGATTAGACTCACAAATTACTGATTAGCAAATCGCTTTGAATTTATCGCTATTGTTTCCAGTTGACAGTTCTAAAAATCTGAAATTAATTTTAGATATCAAAAAAATTCAAGACAGAATCGACCGAAAAATGTAACTACAGCTTCCATTGTTACTAAATAGTCGAAAGATTAGTATTTCCAGGCACTTAATTAGTATTACCGTAATCAGATTAGCATTTCCACTTTATCATTTTTTCATGTAACCACTAATGTACGTCTTAATAATGGAACAAACGAGAAACATCGCTGAAGAACACAATCGAGAATACCGGCTTTTTTCGGATAATTGGTATGTTTTTGAAGCCGCCTATACGTCACTCCCCCTACACTCTCCCTTCACAAAACTCACTTTCCCAATGCTTTCCCCTGTAAACTTTTTATGTATCGCTTGCTTCATCAATTCGTTCAAATATTCACTTCTCACGAGTCGTTCTCAAAGTAAATTAAATCACTTGGATGTTTTTCACTTCATGAACATCATTGTTAATCATCACAGTTATTTAGTTTGACTAGCATCACCGGACGCAGCACCGCAGTCCTTACCCTCTAGCCGGCAAGCCTGGAATGGAGTGAGAGGGTCTCGCTACTCCAGTATTCCCTCGGAAATATCTCACATCGCACCTTTAAGCTTCACGCTTCCAAAATGGCTACAAGCTACCCAATTCTGAAAATCATTTCGCTCAAAACACCGAATTCTATATGAAAAACAAGAAACGAGAATAGGAAGATGTTTGCAAATGAAATTTCGAATTATATTTTAGCGTTTGAAAGTTCTGCCGATAATCTTACGCTGTCGGACGCGGTCGTATCGATCCAGGGTGCGTGCGCAATCGTGGCTACGTCTGGCGTTCACGTCCGCAATGTTTCATTCCGTCTAGCTACATCAAGTTCAACCAGAAAAATTTGTTCACCTTATTTTACGTTTCCATATTCTCCCACTGTTGATTTGAGATGTCTAGCATTTCTCTCTTGGATTTTGATAATATCTTTACTTGAATTTTTTTCCTGCATTTACGTCAAGACGTTGCAAGATGAACAATTATCGCTCACAGAGTTCGAAGTCCCTGTAGCTTCTCAGTCTCATGAGTAGAAATTATGTTTGAATGAGCCTCCCATGAAACATGAACAACAACATGGGGAAACTTTAGAACAGTCTTTGCACTTGGGCTCTGTGGTGGAGAAAACGATACCTGTTACTTTCCGGACCTGGTCAAAAAATAAAGTATCCGGCCAAGATATTTAATTTCATTTGTTAAATATAGTTGGTCTGAGATTTTCTATTGCAATGTTATTCGAATTCGTCTCTCACATGGTAGTTGAATTTCAAGAATGTAAACCAAATAGCACAAAGAGTGATTTCGTTCATTGTTTCTAATTCTAATTCTACTCGTACGAACCATTTTTTATGGACATGCATAAAATTTATTCAAAATTTATTATCCTATGCCTCAAGTAAAAGTAACAAAAAATAAGCTGAAACTTCTTTAGTTTTAAACGTCTTTGCTGTTCAAACAAAGGAAAAATTAAATTCAGGTAATTTGATGCGTTCGTTGAAATAAATTGTTGAGTTAATATATACAAAACTTGAATTTTGCATGACTCCAATTTCAATTGGAGATTCAACTTACAGTAAATTCAATGCGTTCTATAGCAACCAATTCTGATCTACTTAAGTTACCCGACCGAAATCTGATTTATATGCATGTTCACTCCCTTACAAAATTTAGAACAGGATGCCACTCTGCATTAGGCGCTGCCTAAGACTCCTAGAGCACGGATATTAGCCGCTAGTATTGCGCAATGTATGTATACTAGCCGCTAGTATTGCGCAATGTATGTATACTAGCCGCTATATAGTATTGCGCAATGTATGCATACTAGCCGCTAGTATTGCGCAATGTATGTATACCAGCCGCTAGTATTAGAATAGAATAGAAGTGTCAGCACTGAGGAAATAGGCCCCTGGCCTGTTGCCGATTCTTGTACTTTTCGTGACTTGATTCACAAGGAATCCGGTCTTTGGAAACCGATCTTTCCATAACTGACGATTGATTGAGATAGCAGCTGGACTTAATGCCTGGTCCGTAATTTGCTAGGCATTTTAAGACTGAACATATGCTGCTGCATAGCTTCGTCTAGTCTGTTCTTGAAGGCGTTCATATTCTCGGAGCGTCAACGATGCTATCAGGGAGGCTCTTCCACATGTCAGTGACTCGAATGTATTGCGGTCAAGCGAATAGAAACTTGAGACACGGCACCTCAACTGCTAAATAAAACAAAGAGAAAAAAACAAGTAATTTTTCCACCGACTTCTGAGGTGACCAAAAACCGCTCATAATTCGACCGCAATAACACGTAATAATTAATACAATAACTCGGCTATGTGGACATGATACTATATGTTCACCTGCATTCCGTTTGAAGACAACCGCATTGATGTAGCAAATGCAGTCACGCAACTGGGCTGGAAATGTTTGGTGTAATTGAATATGTTTTTATTTGCCATGCCATATCCTCATGGTTTTCTATTGTCCTTACATTTCTGCTATTTATAGAAAAGACTACCTTGGGTTTTGCCGTGCAAATTCAGCTTCTGCCAAAACTCGACAACTACTTGGTTATGTGGAAACACAATTGTTGCATTTTTTTCGATTTATTTTAATATAAATGCATTTTTTATGTTTACCTGGCCGTGGTATTAAAGTTCATACGATTGAAAATATTCCGACAAAAATAACTACAATCCTCTAACTCGATCTAATTAATAAACCATACTGTTGTACATATATTTACTGTTGACCAAATCAAAAATTACATATTCTTGTAGACAAAGACGGGCTCCACCCGTAGAAATATTCAATAATCTTTACCCATTCATATCTCAAATTATCATAGAAGAAACTCTCAAGAACGTGCATTCATTGCATTGACGGGTAATCTTATGGTCAACTTATGACAACGCATTTAAATTAATGTAGAGGCAGAGTTATTAAAAGAGTATGTGATTTCGGAAATATTATGTAGAAGCAAGTCTACTGTAAGTAAGTTCATGTGGAATAAATCTCATCAAATTAAAAATCGTCACTTTCATTTGCGTTCTTTCCCGTGACTACTGTGATTATTATTATTAATTATATACATATAACGAATCTTTTTTGGTATTTGGTTGTCCTGGATGAAGCAAGACCAACAATGAATCCATGTTAACCCAACATGGATTTCTTCTTGTCTCCATGCCGGAGTAATGAAGCTTACAATAGATAATAAAACGGCACGTTTGGGCTAAGTAATTGATCGATTGTCTTTTCAGGATGTAAATTCCTCAATTTCCGCGACTGAAAATCTGTCATGAAACACAGTAGCATGCGAAATGCATTCGTGTGCAATAATTGCTTTTTATCAAGTTTTCGTTTTAACTCTTTCAGGAATTTTAGTTGCAGGTGCGATTTCTTTACACCTATAAAAATCTTTGCAGAATTTACGGATGTTCCGCATTTTTTCTTTGAGCATTTCCATGCAGACCACAGCAGTGGTAGGGTGTGAT